CATGCAATAAATTTGGATTTCAATGAGGAGTCACGCCGGCAAATTTCATTCCTGCAGTGTCGACTTATATTTGAATGCGGAGTAACCTCCTCGCTCGCTACGTGAATACATAAGTAATTAGTATAACGCGAATTCTGAGCGTTATCAATAATGCAACAAGTTACATTCATAATAAGCTCTTCCCGTTCACGTTAATTCAATCGTTCCTTCGATCTCTCGCATTCAAGATTGTTTTTCAAGTTCCCAACGGGGACGGGTCAATTATTATTCGTCTGTCACGTATTCTCCTTATCGAACTCGCTATTGTTTATTTTCCCGACACATTTTCATTCGAATTATTCCCTAACATTGAACGACATCGACGAAATGAATTTTCATTGAATTGCATGAAAATTTTGATTTTATGAGTTATTCAACGCTAAACATATTGGAGGAGTCGAATTCTGATTCCAGAACTGCCATTTTGCGAGTATTTAAATTACGAATGCGTTTGCGAAAGATATCCAATTAAATTCGTATATCTGCACAGACACAATCTCAAGAAACGTATTATTCTAATTGTTACAAAACGTTGGAGATCAGTCACTATAATTCCTCAATAGTTTTAGCGTTAATAAGTCACTTTATATGGGATATTATTTTCTGCTAGGAAAATAAATTATTTGTACATTTCATTGGCATAATTAAAATTTATGCTGGCATAGAACTCGTTGAAAGAAGAAAATTATTATATCAGAAGCTATGTATCAATAGATTGACTGACATTTACTGTAGTTTGTTCTAGTGTTCTTATAAAAATTGTTATCCGTTCATTTAGATCGGAGAAATTAGAGTTTTAATTATAAACAATTAGGATACACATTTATCTAACTTTCTTAATAAAAATCGACCCAAACATTCACCAAATAATGCGTATAAAATTCAGTATGAGTCAAATTGCCTAGTTCTATAAATCTAGTGTTAATTATCTACGTTTCCATCTATATACTCATATCATACATGTTTCCTGGACTCAACTGCATTGGTCTCCGAGCTGATTCGCTAGTGAACGCAAGAATTGTTGTTTCCCGACGGATTATTTCGGCTGCCGGCCATCAGGTTGCTCGGAAGCCCTAAGGGTGGCCCGACAACTGCGCGAAATCCTCGGTTAACCGGCCCAGAAGGAGGAAATCACGACGAGTCACAATCGCGGGGGTGTACGGGGGTTAATCGAACGAGCAAACACGCCGTGAACCTGATGTTAGTACCACGCTAGAATTCCTAATGCCCCGACCATAAGCTTGCCGGTCCGCTTGACGAAATGCTTGTACCGACATCGAAAACATTCGCCCCAACCCCTTGCTCGAAGGGGTCGAAACTGTTAACTTTCCTGATTTTATCCAATGTTAACCCCTTTCGTATGAGAATATTGTTAAACTGTGAAAACTTGTCAACCAAACGTGGCTGTAAAGAGAGGAACAAGCTCTGTACTTCAACTGCAACAGACGAAGCAAACTGACTCATTCCTGATGTCTTCTTCTTGTAATTGCTAGAAAGACAACAGATGTTGAACCTGAGAATTTATTAAAGAAATTGATTTAGCAATTAGGTACAAAGAAATTAAGTATAGCAATTAGCTATAGAGAAATTGGCTATATCAATTGGCTATAGAGAAATTGTATAGATTTAAAATTTCAATTTGACTGCTCATTTAGTGTTAAACTCCAGAAAAAACTACATATCGATCTCTTGTTATTTGAGTAATTAAATTATTCATTTGTGTCGGCATTATGAAGGCATTCGACTGTAGAATATTAAGTCCCTTTTCAGTTTTAACTATTAATTACCCTATACAGTAAGACGGAGGTATTTTTGTATTGATTTTTTCGGAGGAATTGTTTTTGTAAGTAAATAATAATATTTGTAATTTATATGATGTAATAGATATTTAGTAATAATAGTTAGACGCCTGAACAGTTAGTAAGATTCGAATTGAACGTTTCCCCCGAAAAGAATTTCCATCGAAGTCCCGCCGGCGGCGGAGCAAGATGGCGGAGGCAACAGAGCGTATGAAGCGGGGCTTAAATATTTATCCAAAACGAGGTGGACATCTGTCGAGCAGCAGCTCGTTGCATTTTATTTAGGCGAACTGTATTTATTTAACATTAACGCCGGCACCGTGGCTCTCCCTAATTCACGCCGTCGTCGACGCCGACGTCGTCCGTTCGGCAAACAACGGCACACATGGCCACGGTCTCTTCGGGGTTTGGTCCGTGGCCAAATACGAATTATTAGTGTTGTCGCTGGCGCGCACCCCCTCGGGCTCTCTGCGCGTTGCGTTACGTAGTTTTCGGTTCATGTAATTTTATTACGTACGAGCCGTGGAATACCTTCGAATTCCTCGATTCGACTTGATTTCGGTGGAGTTCTTGGGGTTGTTAGAGCATTTGGTGGTTAACATTGTAGATTGAATGTTAATGATAGTGACGATAGAGAAATAGATAGAAAAATAAATAGAGAAAGAGATAGAGGAAGAAATAGATAAATAGACAGATAAATAGATAGATAAATAGATAGATAAATAGTTAGATAAATAGATAGATAATTAGATAGATAAATAGATAGATAAATAGATAGATAAGTAGATAGATAAATATATCGATAAGTAGATAGATAAATATTCAATTATTATTTATACAAGTTACTCGAAACATACGCGACTTTCTAGTGTCAACTTCCGACCAACCCCTACAAATACTAATTCAATGAAATAAAATCAGCACTTCAATCTTCAAGAATGTCTCAACCTTACAGTCTCAAATTCAAATTTCCAAGATCTAAAATTTACATTCAAACCCACCCCTAACTATATATATAATCTTAAAATGTTCACTACATGTAACTCTATATTAAAGATACTTTCTCAAATTCAACCATCCAAATTACGCCAACTTACTTCAAATCATCTAAACTACACGAACATCAACATCTACATTCATTTAAATTACATGCACTCCATAAACATACACACCTCTATTCACTTACGATGCACAACCATTTACCCAGACAAATAACTTCTATACCAAGACCCCTTAATAATTCCAATCCCAATAAACGTCTCTACATCCCGGTAAATCGATGAAAAATAATTAGCCGGAGATGGGGGTTGCTTCCGAAGGACAAAAGGGAGTCTCCTCGCGGAATTCCAGGAACGTGAGAGGAAGCGGACCGGTTCAGCAGCCCCGGCGACTGATAAAAATCCGATAGTCGTGTTTGCCGTCCGGAAAGGGCAATCACGTTCATCATGGTGTCCCGCTCGCCTCCCGACTCTCTCCGAGTCCACCCAT